TAGGCCGGGTTCGAAGAACCCTCGCCTAATTCTCTGCTGTGGTTGGAACAGCCATTGAATCAAGAAAATGATGATGACGATGATGATGATGATGATGATTTGAGTGTTAGTGATTCTCTTCGAAATGAGCTGGATGAAATGATAACAAAATTGTATGATGGAAATATTCATGTTATATGTTGTTTTTTATCCATAGTCACATTTACTATGTGCTGTTAGTCATTCTCTGCTGTGGCTGGAACAGCCATCGAATCAAGAAAATAATGATGATGATGATGATTTGAGTGTTAGTGATTCTCTTCGAAATGAGTTAGGATGAAATGATGCAGTCTCTCAACTCAGCGAATGATTAAGAGTGAAATGGAGGATTTTGAGCTGGTAAGTGACTGCAATAGATGCATATTCAAATCAAGCTTGTACCGTATTTGCATAATATAATAATATATACTGTAGAATACTTTATTTTTGCTTTGAATTCAATTTCGCTGAATGAATGCTTCAGTGAAAATAAAATCCATCGAATACACATTTTTTCCTATATTTCACAATCAATTCGTCAAAAATCAGTGAAAATAAATTCCATACAAAACACCTCAAAATGCTTTTCAGCGAAAATTAATTCCAGCTAAAATAAAGTATTTTACAGTATAATATAAACTTATCTCCAATAGAATTACATGGTAGAAAAAAATGTTTTGTGTATTTGTGGGAATCCTCATGCCTTTGATGTCTTGCTTTTTGTTTCAGGACAAATCAGCAGATTTCTCTGTAACAAGTGGAGTAGGCACAAGGAACAACATTCATGCAATACTCGTCATGGGTATTTATGAAGTACTCATGGAATATAATTTTACTGGTGGAGATTTCAGGTATTCATCTCTGCTTCTAAGCTATGACTCAAGAAGCAGCATGGCACATTTATTTGAGAGATGAACATGCATTCATAATTTGCTTGTCTTGCAAATAATGTGTGAACGTGTGAGATATTACACTGTAGAATGTGTGAGGTGTTGTGTAATAGTAATCCCAACAGAGTGGCATGAGAATTTCAATAATTTATTAGTTCCTGTTTGGATGAAGTTCAAAAATTGGAATTTATGGATTTCAGACAAACTTCACAAAAACTTGCAGCACTTTTTCGTGCTAAAAGTCAATAAATCGAGCATTTCTGCCATTCTAGAACCAGATCGTGTATGGATAGATTTCGTTCACACATGGTTTGTACATTGGTCATTATCAGGTTTTGATGCATGTTATTCTGCTTTTTAGATCAGTTTCAAAATGGCTGACTGACGGACATTTTGTATTACCAATATTTCCAAGCCATTATCGATGACATGCGTTGTCTGATTGCAATCAAACTTCACAACTACAATATACATTCATTATACTTCATTCATTCATGTCACACATCTGATCTGATTTGTTAGTCCCCGTTCGTCCGAAGTCCGAAAACGGGGACTTATAATTCGGTCTCCGTTCGTCCGTCCGTCCGTCCATCCGCAGTCATATCTCAGAATCCCTTGGACCGATTCCATTCATTCTTTGCATGTGCCTAGTACTTTATGTGGGACATATGCACATGCAGTGGTTTAGCGATTCGATTCAAAATGGCCGACTGGCAGCCATCTTGTTTTTTGAAAATGTTGTATTTTGGACATGCTTTGTCAGTTTTCATTCAAACTTGGTACATAGATTATACATGTTAGGATACATGTCCATGATGATTTATTTCACAATTGGATCAAAGATGGCCGACTGGCAGCCATCTTGTTTTTTGAAAATGTTGTATTTTGGACATGCTTTGTCAGTTTTCATTCAAATTTAGTACATAGATCATACATGTTA